ATCACAGCAGGGAAGTCCCGGTCCCTGCACAAGAAAACGGAGGTGAAGAATTGGTTAAAGAGGTCTGCTTTCTCCTCTGACGCAACCACCAGATTGCCCAGCGTATCCTGCAGGGGTCCCACATTACCCGGCACCTTCTTCATCCTCCCAATATATTTGAAAAAGGGCTTTTTGTTATCCTTAATCTTGGACGCCAGTCCGAGCTCCATGTCCGCCTTGGCCTAAGGCCATATTGAAAATTGGCTTAAGGCTTGACTGTTTATATCCTTTGCAAAACCAGGGTGTTATCATGTCAGAGCTTCTCGGTTGCAAGAATAATTGTGTCCTGGGCAGAGAAGGATCTGCCTTTTAAGGCAGCTCATGTAAAGATACAAAAAAGGAAGAAAAAGGGAGAGTTCAGGGTCTTCCTTTTTAGTCTGTCTTGGCCCTGAAGCACTTTGGACTTGCTAGGTAGCTCTGGAATCAGCATTGCATCTCTAGAAAAGAGCCTATCTTTAGATTATCAGTTTGGAATTAACTACTGCTTTCATTAAAAAAAAAAAAAAAAAAAAAAAAAAAAAAAAGGTGGGAGGCAGGGAGGGCTAGTTTGGTAGCTCCAGTAAGCTTATTCAAGATGCTTTCTTTTTTCCACAATTCTTGGGAAGCAGTTTTCCCATCATCTTGTGACCCAGCATTCCAGTGGATGAGTGTGCCTGGTGCTGCAGAGACATCTCTAAGTGGTGGTCATGTGTTAATTGTATTTTGTTCATCCCATTCAGCTCAAGGGCAGGGCCTCAGAGTTGCTGCAGGTAAGAATGCAAGATGGTAAAACTATTAGAGCAGTCGGCATACTAGACATGTGGGAGACAGTTAATAAAAACTTCTAAAGGCTGTGGGGAGACAGAAAGAAGTATGGGCCTCATTTGAAGAAAACTTGCAAAACGAGTTCCCGTTCCTCTGCAGCAGCAGAAGTCTTTGGTAGCAGAGTGCTGGTTGAGGAGTTCCTAATTTTATTTCTGTGAGGAGGGGATGCTCTTCAATGCCTTCTGGCCTGCCTGGTGTGAGCGCTCCTCTCTGCCTTCACAACACCCTGACACCGTGGACTTGGATTTCTCCCAAAGTGCACATCTTTTCTCTGTCCCTTACCTAGTGGCTATGGGGGGGGAGCATGATCTCCCTGGTGGCAGACGCAAACACCACAGGAAGAATGAGTGTACCTCCACCTTCACGGTAATTAATTTTACATTGTCATTGGTAGGTCCTGACTTGAAAAATCTTCACTTGCGAAACTAAGCAGGTGGCTATACAGTCAAGTTACTGTGCAGTTCTCAGCAATTGTGGACATCTCTGCTATGGTAACAGACACACCACCAGATATCTGTTCATTAAGCTGCAAATACTTTGGAGTGTCAGCAGCCCCTGATATGCCAGCTCTGATGGAACCCTCCAAGTCATCCTTTTCTTGGTCCAGGTGTGCATCTCATTCAAGTTTGGACTCTTCAGCTTGCAAGAAAATGTGGACCAGTTTGTCATGCTGAGCCACTCTGCCAGGTGGAAGACAGACCCACTCGTACATAATGTGTAACTTTGTGAAAGGGTGTTGGAAAAGGGATTTCAATCTCTGGTGACACAGGTGTTTTGTTACTGAAAAGTGTTTCATGCTTCGCCTTTGGGGTGGGGACAGGGAGCACTCACATTTGCACTTTCACCTTCTCATTTTAACTTTCTTATAATAAAGGTATTAAAACATCTCTCTTCCATCCCTCCCCCCCCCATATTTATAAAAATGTAAAATACACATTTTAATATGATAGGCATTAAAAAGGTGGTGTGTTGTGAGCAGAGACTCCAACTTGAAGTGCATTCTGGCACTGTATATGTTTCCACTGTTGTCACTGGGGCTGTCTGATTAACTTGTCTTGAAATGCATGCGTGGCTTCATTGCTCTTGAGACAGGAGCTAGCTTGAGCGTGTTCAGATGTGTTGAGACATTAGTTTGAGCATGGCTTGCGTTTCTGCAGTCATACCTGAATGCTGCGATTACATCCTTAGGATGCGAGTCCTTTGTTCTGTAACGTGTCATGCTGTATATAAATGACATTGAAAGGGGGAGGATGTTTTGCAAAGGGGTGAAATGTATCTTGGTGTTAAGTTTGTGTTGCAAAGCACTGGTGGATTGACCAAAAAATAAATGATGTAGTTTCTCTTTTAAAAAAACAAACAAACAAGAAGGGGCCTGAGTCTCAAAGTTTGGATCCCAGTCTAGTTTCAGATTTCCCCATAGAAACCATCCAAATCCTTCCCATCTTCCAGAGCAACAAGTAGTACATTTGCACCCTGCCCAAGTGCAGCTGCTCCCATTCAGGAAGCTTGAGGGCAGGCTCCATGTAAAAACAGTGAAGTGCAGCGTTTGGAGAGACTTTATTTTACAGTCCGGTTGTTTTGCAGGTATTCACACTCCATGGGAGAGGTAAGTTTCTAGGATTTTTTTTTTCTTTGCTATGAATTGAAGAAGGGGAGAAAACTTGAAGACCTGTCTTCTAGTAAGAAGGCTGCTCTTAAGGACAGTGCAGAAATTCAGCTTTTAGTTTTTAAAATCTGCTGATAGTGCAAACTTGTTATCTGAATCAGTTTTAAAAGAATGTGTCTGGGTGCCTGCAAATGGCTTGAAAAAGAAAGCAGCCTACATTCACCTAAGGTGGTCTGTTTTCATTCCCTTGCATTGTGTCACCACTTTTCTGAATTGAGTCTTCTCATCTCTGTCTGTCTTCCTGCCTTTGCAGCATGCCTCTGATAGTTGATTTACTGGACAGCAAAGAGTTGCTGGAAACTTGCCTTGATGATACCACCAGCCAACCTGGGGCTGGTTTGACAGCAAGAGCTCCAGAAGAGGCAGATCTGAGCTTCCCTCATCCTGGCACGAAGGAAACAGCTGCTGAGAAAACAGAGCCTGCTGGTAAAGAAATTCTTGAGTCATTATCATTATCCTTGCTTGTAGAGACAGAAATACACAGTAATGGTATTATTTTGATGACTGATAGTTATATAGCAATTTCTCTACAAAAATCCTGAAGCGCTTAACAGATTTCATAAAATTATATGTATAGAGATTACTTCACCCAGCACCTAAATGAAGCCACCTCTGGACTATACAATATAGCAGTTGTTTTCTATGTTTCTGAATACAGAAGTTTAAACTATCACACTGGGAACACTGGGCAAATTCTTGATAGATGGAATGTGGCTTGTAACTACCAATCATTCATCTAGAAGGATTTCAGAATAGCGGAAATAATACTTGTAATTTTTACCGTATTCTAATGATTGCATGCTGATTTGTTTTGGGGTTTATAGTAGTTTGGCAAATGTATAAGCAATGAAATTGGTCGTATATTGAATCGGCTGTTAGATAATAGCACCAAAAGGGCCCACTGAAGTGAGCGATCTATACAGATGCTGCAGGGCTGGGTCGAACTAACGCACTGCCTCTTCTGGTAAAGTGCAGGGTTTGTTGGGTTTTTTTCCCACATCTGTCAGCAGCTAAAATGCCTTGTATTTTAGTGAGCTTCTCTGGGCCACCCTTTTAAGGTTGTGGGGGGTGCTGTTATGCCTGGTTTAGAGATGAGAAACAGGTAAAAGCAGACAAAGTGGCCTGTCTAGGATCTCACGAAGTCTGTAACTGAGCAGGCAACTGTGCTCTCCCAAGTCCTAGGCGAGTACTCTAACCACTGAACGGTCCTTCCTCTTTAGCCCTATTAAATATTCCCAAGGCCAGGCATCGTGGAGAAACATCTCCTTCCCAGTTCCCAATTGTGCATCCCCTCAGGCTTCCTTCTTGCTCTATTCTTTCTGAGGCTAGGATGCTGTCCCACATACCTCAGTTTACTTTACCTGTAGGGAGCACCTTTCTAACACTGCTTGTTCACACATTATTTATTAATTTCCACGGTGAGACCAAGAGAGCTCCATCAGCTACCTCCTAACAGGGCACATCTACACAAGATATTTACTGTGGAGCTGACTCAGCTCCACAGTACAGCATCAGGGTCTACACATGCAGTGCTGTTAGGCTGGAGTAAACTAATTCACTCCACTGTAGGATAGTACTGTCTAAAGCAAGTCACTGCTCCACCACAATGCACGTGTTGATGCCGACATGGCTGGCTGGGGCATGGGGGTGCTGCCTGCTGGTTAGCCCCACACTGGAGCACCCTTGTGTCCCAGCCAGCCCCTCTGCAGGAGGTTGAGCTGGGTTAGAGCAGCCCCGGCTGACAGGATGACTCCCCTGCCAGCTGGGGCTGCTCCACTGCAGCTCAATATGCTGCAGTCCATCTGCGTGTGTAAACACTGTGCCTAGGAGCTCTGCTCTGCCAGAATTTATTGCATTGAATTTATTTCACATGTAGATGGGCCCATAGACCTTTACAGATAAAACAGTTGTCCCTAGGTAGGGGTTAAACTTTTCATTGCAGAGAAGAAAGCAGTGCCAGGCTGAACATGTAGCACCATCAAAGCTGTTGAATATCCAGAAGTCCTGCGTGCTTTTAGGTCTGTCCCTTCAGTAACCTGCCAACTTGCCAGTAGCAGCCACTAGCTCAGAATCACCTTTGTGCTGCCATAAAAAAATTTATGGCAGCACAGAGCCAAAGCAAATAGATGTCCATACCCTTTGTCATGTCATAACGTGGTTGTGACAAAAGGTAATAGCAGTTTGTTCCACTTTATTGCAGTGGACACCTTGTTTGCTTTATGACAGGTGAAAGAGAGCATCATGGAGCTGCCCGTACTCTCCAGCTGCCCTGGGCAGGCACTTTCAGGCTTGAGGGGCCAAGCTCTGCATGCTCTGGAAATTCCTGTGCAGGACCAGGCCCTTCAAGCCTGTGGAGCGCTGGCCCAGCTTCCACCATTTCCAGAGAGATCCCTGCAGGATCTCCAAGTAAATGTCTCTGGAAATGGGAAATGCATCACCCGTGGTACCTCAAGGTCAGCTGGTGGACAACAGGTGCTTTGTGCTTTGTCCAGTGAAGTAGAACAGCCCCTGCACAGCTGTTCTGCTTCATGGGAACCGCATGTTTTTCTAGCCAGTGATTCTCAGCCAGGGTGCTGTGGCACACTGGGGTGCCTTGAGATCCTTTCAAGGGTGCCTTGGGGTGCTACACAATGTTAGCACTGTCAGGTGTGTAAACATTATCTCAAGAGGGGACTCCAGACACTTCAAATACGAATCCACAGTGTCAAAAACATCCTGGCCAGCAGTGGGCTTTCCAAGTTCTTTGCAACCAAAGAATTGCTTTATTATTTTACTGTAATAAAAAAAACATGAAAATGAAAAGTTGGCATTTTCTGAGGGATGCCTTGAGTCTAACAAAGTTGAGAACTACTGCACTAGCTTGAAGCAATAGACTAATGTTTTAAAGAGACGTAGTTGAATATTTTACTGTATTACAGTCTTTTATCATAATGAATAATTCAGTAGCTGCATAAAAAAAATTTGCATTCAGAAGTGTGTCTGAGTCTATCCCAGTCATGCAGTTAGTCCAGTAAAAGATGCAGTTAGTCAACCACCCAATTCTGTGCCTCTTGCATAAAATGTTTCCATGACGTTTTAAGGTTGACTACTTATGACAACAAAACTCCCTTTGATAACTCCATCAGGAATCAGAAGGGCAAAGGTTAAATGCCATGTCACCCCAGAGCCTCAGTTGTCTTTTATATCGTTTTCAGTGTTTGAAGAGTCCTTATTGAAACTGAAACAGATGGAGACAGAGCCCAGCCCACTGCCAGCTTCCCCTTCCAACATAAACATCAATGTCAGCAAGCAGGTACTTGGGTTACTTTCCTCCTCCCAGATTTACTGGGCTTGTTGCGACTATTCTGAGAACTTTCTTCCTTGTTTTTATTCCACTTGCAAGCTATTCAAAAACACAAGCAAATCAATTGAAACACTGGGTTTTATAGAATATTCTGCAGGAGGGAAGAATTCATGCTGGGAAAGAGCTGAAGGATAACATTTGACAGGTATTTAGGTACACGCAGGCATCTATCCGGTGGGAGTTTCAGAAGTACTGAACTCATACGGGGTCTAGGGTACACCAGAACTGAAATCAGCCTTTAATGCCCTGTGCAGCCAGGCTGGTACACAAAATATACCGGCTTCCTGCAGTGTTGAAGCTGTACTGAAGAATGACTGATCCTTTTCTCTTGCTGAAAGGTAAGTTTGGGCTTATGCACGTTCCTGATTAGGCGTTTGTTAGGCTGCAACTGCAACTTGTGCTCACATTCACAAGCACTTAGTCCAGCAGAACAATTTGTGGATTCAGGTGCCCACCTTCCCTTCCCAGTGGGCTGCAGTGTGGGTGCTACAGGAGACTGCCTCTACTAAACCATCAGGACTGTGGGTGAATCTTTAGCGAAGATTTCATTGTTTATTTCTTTTAAAGGAGAGCTTGATTCACTCAGGATTTGACCAATTTGGAGGAGAGATGCTGCAGAGGGGCAGAGCATTCACCTAAGCAGTAGTATTTAAAAACAAGGAAATCATGTGGAATGAAGCGTGACATGTCCTTCTGGCCTCTTATCCTTGGCCTGACGGGGTTGACTCCTCTTTCAGGATTCCCTAGAAATTCAGTTTTATGTTCCCTCCAGATGCCACTGCAAAGGGCTCTCCCCAAATGCTGCAAATGCCAGCTGCGAGTTGTTTGTTTGCACAGGAAGGAGGCAGCCTACTGCTCACTGCGCCTTGGAATGACCCCAGTATTTGCATTAGCCCCTGAGCGAGCTACGGTTTCCTTTGCTTCCCTGTGTAACCTAATGGGACTTCTTGTTTTCATTAAGTTGGATCAGATCCTGGGACAGGTTGGCATTGCTCCTCATTCTGTCAAAAGGCTGTAGTTCATAGATGTTCTTAGTTACTGGATTTTTTTATTCTGGTCACCTTTAAGGGCTGTTGTCTAGGATGCCTCACGTACCTTTCTGTTTGGTGACTGTATTACGAAGATTATGAAGCCCCTAAGAGGATTAGTCCGTAGCCTGTAGGTCTTGCTGTGCCTCAGAATAAACAAAGGCAAATGGATGCAGTTTCTTTCAGAATATCTGGGCCTGTTTGACTCCCTTCTAGCTTTAAACAAAGAGAGAAACAGTTCTGGAGTTTAAATCCAGAGAGATTAGAATGAAACTGTTCACACTACTGCATGGTGACTCAGGTGGTGCAGGCACACTGAGACTCACTTAATGAGCTGTTCTAGCAATCAGATGCCCACACAGTACAGCCATGATTATCCAGATGTCACGGAAGACATGCAGTAACTGCAAATCGGGGACTGTTGACACTCCAAAGTATTTGCAGTGTAATGAGCAGATATTTGGTGGTGTGTCCCTGTTGCATAGCAGAGACATGTCCGGAATTGCTGAGACCTGCACAGTAACATGACTGTACGGCCACGTGCTTCGTTTTGCAAATGAAGACTGCCAATGACCTTCTAAAATTAATTATAATGAGGGCTGAGGTATGCACTCACTGTGTTCCTCTGGTGTGAAAGGAGGAATGTCTGAATAAAGATTTTTCAGCACTGCCAATTCTTAGCAAGATTTATCTGGAAAACGTTGGTTATTTAAAAAAAATAAAAAATAAAAATAAAGTTAGAAATTACCATATTTACTTTAATCCAAGATGAGTTTGAATTTAAGGTGACCCCCCAATAATTAGATCTGATATGTGGAAAATGATAAATGGGTTAAGATTTTCTGTATACAATCTAATTAGCGGAGGGTGGTCTTAAATTTGTCCCCCCTATTACTGTGATTGGGAAAGCAGCAGCGAAGGGTGAGGGGCCAGATCCCTGTCCCTTGCTCCCCTGCCCCCATACTTTTCCCCCTGCTGCTTGCCCCCCATACTTGTGCCTGCCGCCCACTCCCTGCCTCCCCAGCCCCCTGGTTCCTGCAACCTGCTCTTCCCCACCCTTGCAATCAGTGCCTGTGGGATGCAGAATTGCAGAAGCAGGAGAGCAAGAAACTTGGCAAACTGTTGTAGTGCCAACAGAACAGCTCAGTAGCTCCCTGCTTCTGGAAGCCGATGTGTGCCTTGTGCCAAGTCAAGTAAAGGTAAAGTAATTTCCAAGTGACCCTGACCGACGTCAGTATAACGTTGAGATCGGTTCTGTCAAATGCAAGACTTGAACTTTTGATCTCCGAAGTTCAGAGCTTGCCTGTCAGCTTCATCTTGGAGCTGTTCTGCATTTACATGCACTTTTGATTATTTGTTAGGGAAATACCTGCTGATCTATCTGACCCCTTTAGACAGGGGAAAATCATTCTGGAATAATAAGCATGAATGGCTTGATTCTTCATCGATGGTCACTGGTGCTCCATAGCAGCTCGCTGCCAAATTTTGTTGGAATGGAAGCATGAGACTTGGTTACTCCCAAGCTTTTGACTAGTGCAGTGGCTGAATTTGAGGGACATGACAAAGGGGAGCAATTAGCTTTTAAATGCAGGCATTCCATTTCCATCAGCATCCTGAATGTGGTGAACAATGAAAGCTAACCCTGGCGCCGGAGGGTGAGCCTGTCTTTCCTTTTGTTTTCTGTGGTCTGTTGGGTTCTTAAAACTAACCAAAAAAATAGAAAAGTCACCCAAAAACATGGGTATCCCAACGCTATGTTGCAGGGGGAGAGGGGCTTTCAAAGCATGGAGGACAGACATCTGCCCAGCTACCAGTTAGTCAGTGGGAATTGAGCATCTACCTCTGACTTTATGCCTTAAGCTTTCTACTTCTGCCTCGAGCTCTTTGGCTGTATTTGTATGGTTTTATGAAGTGAAGTGATGAGATGCATTAAAAATGTTGTATAGAACAGATTCCTGATGATGAAAAAGCTTAGGGTCCCTGTTTGTTCGTTCTGTAGGAACAATGAGAACTGCAGCAGACCTGGGATATAGGCAGGCCTGCCATGTTAGATCTCTGTCAGCCACCCAAATTAATGTCGTGTAAATGAGATATATTGAGGGCTTACCATGTGCAGAATACTTCTGTTCCTGACCATATGGTGCTGTTTTCTTTCTCTGTTTCTGTTTCCCATAAAATAGAAATGGCAAAGAGAAGCATGTACTCATCTGAATAGAAATGTTTTCTTGGCATTTAAATACCATCTTGTCATTGATAATTTTTAAAAATTTCCCAAACAGAGCTGGGAACCCAGACACATGCTTCTGCTCGAGTCAGAAGGTAAAATTACTGATAAGGAAAGGGTGAAACTACCCAGATGACGTGCCTTGTCTAACCTCAACAAACTGCAGGAAATGTAAACCACAAAATAGTGATAAATAATGAGCATATATTTTTAGTTAGAATCAGTTGCTCGTTGTAATGCTGGAAGAATGAATTGCAGAAAATGCATGTAAAGGTTGTCCTTTTTGCTTTATACAGTGTCTAGCAAAAAAATTATGAGTAAACATGTTGCATATTATGGTAACACAGATGATACAACCTACTAGCAGTGGTTTTTACTCTCCAAACTGCCGCATCATTTCATATGTGAGTGAATTTCCCACCTTAGAAACATCTGCTGGCTATAGTTAATAGCAACATGAATTTGTTTTCATGAATGTTATACTTCCAGTGGTCTTTTCAAAGCTGCTACCAACTTTGTGCCTCATTGATCAAGGCCATAGCTTTCAGATTTGTTCCCCTAGAGTTGGGTTTGTAAATATGTAATTAGACTCCTAAACGGGTGGCTTTATTGCAAAAGGATTCTTGTGGCTGGCAGCTGCCAGTGAAAGTCTTTCTTTGTCCTTTATATATAGGAGGGGTTGGCAACTTTCAGCCACAGGCTGTTTCTGGTTAGCAGTCAGGGCTTTGGTGGCAGGGAGCTTTATCCATGCCACAGCTGGGCTCTCTGCTCATGCTGTGGTGTCTGGACAGTGGGGAGAAGCAGTGGCAGCATCCATGGCCAGGTCCAGTGGCACCAGCCTTGGACCCAGGTTAGGTCATTATGGCCTGCTGCTGGAAAACGACGGTGACCCCTAATTTATCGTTTTAATAAATGGATGGCTGAGCGTGAAGGGGAATTTAGTGGGCTGGAGAGACCCTCGTCTTCTTATAATTAATGGGTAGCCACAAAGATGTTTTCTGTTCAGAAGCTGGAGGCCCAGTCCTGCTCTCTACCTACACCAGTGGTTTTCAGCTGGAGTGCCATGAGGCACACCAAGGGTGTCATAGGCACACCAAGGGTGTCATAGTGCAGGTGCAACCACCACTACCGTGGCCAAGTGGAACTGCCCCACACACCTTGTGCACAACCAGATCAGGAGGGGCTGTGGCACAAGCGTGTGTTTCCACTTGCATTAAGGTTATCTGATAAGCCCAAAGGAGGCCAGAGTGGGCTGTCTTGCTGCGGCCTTTCCTGGTGCAGCCCTAATTGTGTAGAGCTAGGGTTAGCAGCGTTTTCCAGCAAAAGGGCTGGAATGACCCAGCTCAGGCTGGAGGTGACGGGTGGGACCTAGCCCCTCGTACCACTTCTCACGTGCAGTGTGGCAAAGCCCCCTCTGTCCTCTGGAACCTGTGCTCCCCAACTGCGTTGTGGTGCAGGGAGAGCTGCTGAATGCCACCCAGCTCTGCAGGCTGGATCCAAAGACTCCACGGGCTGTAGGTTGCCAGTGAACAAACGTAAAACCCATAGCCAGTGCATGCACTGTAGACCAAGCGGTGCACTTTTAGATGGTCCCAGTTTGTCTGCTGCGGTATAGACAGACCTAACAATTGTACGGTATCAAAGAATATTGAAACAGCAGTGTGGTGATGCCTGCATGATCCCACAGAGATGCAAATATAGCAAAATCACTCCAGTTTTTAACCCTGTTTCATTTGGAGTCAGTTGGAACTATTAAGCTCACTGCATTTACTCAGATGTAAGATGACCCTCCAATAATTATAGTTTCATAGTTTCTAGGGTCGGAAGGGACCTGAGCAGATCATCTAGTCCGACCCCCTGCCATGGCAGGAAGAGCACTGGAGTCAAACGACCCCAGTAAGGTGGTCATCCAACCTCCTCTTAAAAACCCCCAGGGTGGGAGCCTGCACCACCTCACTTGGGAGCTGGTTCCAGACTCTAGAATTAGATTCTATATATGGAAAATTTAGAAACTTGTTATGATTTTTCAGGTATAGAATCTAATTATTGGAGGTCCACCTTGAATTTGTCCTCCTCCCAGTACTACAGCAGGGAAAAATGAATCTAGGGCAGTCAGGTGGCCTCCTTGCCCTCTACCTTGCTTCAGCTTCTTCCCCTTGCAGCCCCTTCCTTACCATCAGACTCTGCTGTCCTTGGGCACCTGGAAGTGGGGAGCAAATCTGCAAACACCGACCTCGAGATGCACATACCTGTGGGAATTTGCATAGAGTACTCATAGACTAGTTCATCCAGAATTAATGCATTTTTCCTTTTTTTGGAACCGCTGCAAGTTTTAGCACAGATGCTCCATAAATGCTGTTAAGCAGTACTTTTGTACCTATGTATGTACAGTGCAAACTATGCATGATATTAGTCCAAATCCAAACAGTTCATGAGTTACCATAGAGTTCATTGGACTGGGCCCCAGCGGAGTTGATAGTGTTTCCAGCTGTGGTGACCCCACTGCTCAGTATGTCCATGTACTCCAGATTAGCTCCCAACTCATGACTGGAACTGGGTGTTCTTGTCACAAGTCCTGGGATCCTCCAAAAACATATATGCAGATGAGGCGCAGGGCAACCTAGTCCAGCTTCACCTCCTGGAGGGCAGGGACCACACTAATTATACGTGCTAGGCTGAGAGAGGGGGCAACAGAGGGATTCTGCATGAACTGTTTGGGGCCCCGTTTCATGATGTTTGCTAGACATTTCAGTAGGGTGACCATAAGGACATCCAGGACACTCCCCCACCTCCAAGTCATTGGCACTGCTGCAGGCAGTGGCTGTAGGCCAGCGGGCAGCGGCCTGGGCGCTGTCCGGCAGAGCTGCTTGGCATACAGTACTGTTCTGCCTCCTTACCAGACTGTGCCCTGTGATTCTGGGGCACTTGTTTTAATCTTCACCAGCCACCTGGGACTGACCTATGAAATCTGGGACTGTCCTGGCCAAACTGGGGCATATGATCACCCTACATCTAAGGCTGGTGAAGAAACAGGAATCATTGGCAATGGGAAAAAAGGCACAGCTCAGCTGTGGAAGTAAAGAGGAGGTTAAAATGTAGGCAATGTTGTGGCTCACTGTGACTTGAAAAACAGCGCTGAAGGCGACTGCGCTCAGCGGGCATGGCCATACATTTTATTCAGATAGCTTGTACTAGCTTATCCTTGTGGTAGGTTCCCATCAGCATGGTTGTTCAGTTTGAGCCATGTGTGTTATAGTCATGCTCAATGTTGGCTGCATTCAGTCAGCTTCATAGTTGGTTTCCATTTGGCAGCAGTTTAACGATTGTCAGTGTTTTTAATGAATTATGTGAATGTAAGATGAGGGTCTTTTTGCCCCATGCTGATTGGGGCAGAAAGCTTGTATTGAAGTAAATACAGTATATTGCTACAGACTTGTGTGCAGCATAACCCTTAATATGCACTTCCAAATGGCAGCTTCCCCTGCTCTTTTAAAGCAGCCTAAAAATACATTTATGCATAATCCAGTAGGCTTCTCCAAAATAACTAAGTGGGAAAGGGTCTGGTATATCAGGCTGTTTAGTTGAATGTATAGCTGGAGCTTACAGAAAAACCAACCTTTCTGCTGCATTTGAGAATGAATGATCAGCTGCTTTCGAAGCATAAATTGATTGGAAATGGCGTGGTATCATTTAAACAGAGAGGTTTTAAAACCCGACTAGAGGGGAGTAATACCATACATACGACTGCATGCCCCAGTCTCGCACTGCATGGAGAATTGTGAGTTGTTTATGGCACTGGCTTAGCTCTGTGTTTCAAAGACTTAATTTTCACATAAGGTGGTGGTGGGGGCAGCTCTGGGCCAGTGGCTGGGGACAATGTGTGTTGCTTCTCTAATGGTGGATGTGAGAGCAGTCAAACTTTGCACCAGCGAAGTGCTGTGGAAACAGCTTGGATCCTGCACGCCCGTGTGCAGAGCACAGCATTGCACTAGGGTTCTGGGCTCCAGCCCCACATGCCTGGCACTATGTGCAAGTTGAGGTGAATCACCAGGCATGAAGTGGTGATGAGTCTTGCACCCCTCTGTGCCCCTTCCCTTTTCCACTTGGCAGAGAATGGGTGTGTCAAGGGGGATGTGACGGAGTATCACCCGCAGGATGGTGACGTGGCTCAGTGTTCGCCCACACAAAACGTGGGAGGTAGCTGGTGGATCTGCCATAGCAGGCGTGTTAATGCAGTGTGAGGATCCCTGCTGTCCATGTCATTCATACTGAATCTTTGCCTCATATTTACATTTACGAATGCCTCCCCCTGCACCTGCACTGTGGGTTCAAGCTCTTGCTAAGAAACCCTTTGCTAGTTCACAAACGAGTTCCAAAACAAAGATGGGAATCATTTCTGTTCCCCCAAATGTGTCTTCCTTATTCTTCCCTCTTTCGTCCCCCATCAGAGCTGTTTCTCCAGGGTTGATGTTAATTAGTTTCAGCCAAAGCCAGGCTAGCTCTTTCTAATAAAAGATTTTCCCTTTCTAGGAGGAGGTGGTAAAACTGACAGATAAATGCCTGAACAATGCAATTGAGAGCCCAGCAATGACACCGGTGTGGCATCCTGCAGACTTAAAGAGCAACATCCTGAAGGCCCAGGCCGAGGCAGTGCACAAGGTAAAACTTGTCTGAGAAGGGTTGTGCAGTTCCTACCTGTTTCCCTTCAGATTGGCCACAAAGGACATGATCAGCAAGGCTCAAAGCACAGCCCTTGAGTGACTCGGTGCTGGAGGCATTGCCCTGCAGGAGTACTCTTTGGATATAAAGGAATAAATATGAGGCAGTCAGGTGGTCCCGTTGCCCTCTACCTTGCTCCAACTTCTTCCCCTTGCAGCCCCTTCCCCACTTCCTTACCATCAGACTCTGCTCTTCCTGAGCACTTGGAAGTGAGGAGCAGATTTGGAAACACCAATGTTGAAATGCACATACCTGTGGGAATGTGCATAAAGTACGCATAGACTAGTTCATCCATCCCCTGCAGCCAGAGGTTGTTAGTGACACTAAAGCAGAAGCATATGGCACCTCTGCCTGCCTGGGCATTGGGGCTGCCCTTCAGCATGTCCCCATTTTTCCTTTTAACAAAGCTGTGAATAAGCTTGGTGCTCACACGTGCCAGCAGGTTTATTAAGGAATGTCCATTGTTGATTTGGGGACAAGACATGGGTGGTTTTACATCTGCCCTGAGCTTTCTGCACTGACCAGATATTCCTGCTGCAGGAAGCATGCAGCACATGGGAAGGACAGCTCTGTTCTCTCCATGAATTGCAAAACTGAGACAAAAATGGAAATAGCCAAAGCTTTCATGTTCATTTACTTTCAGGTTATGAGAGATGACAGCATGTTGGGGAACAAGAGCTCAAGTGTTCAGGAAGCTGCTGCCAGGTACGGAGTAGAACCAGATAACGAGAGGTGGTTCTCTGAGCACGGGACTGGGAACTTGAAGCTCTGCAATTTTGATTCCAGTATTGACTCTGATTGTGGTTGAGAGCCAGTCAGCTAACTTCTCTGGTGTAACAAGGACAGTTCATTTCCTTTTCTGCTAAATGAGGAGCTTGTTACGTTTTACGGGTGTGTGTAAGGCATTACAAAGATGAAAATCACTGGATACTGTAATTGCTATGCATTGTTGTTTATGAGATACTTCAGATGCATAGATCTGAGCCTTGTCCTTGTTCTATCAGTGTACAGTGAGGCGAATTAGGGAAGATCATCAGTGGTGCTGGCGGGTGGTTTCCTCCTCCCTGAGCCCATTCCCTTGCTGGCAGATAATTTCTGGGGGCATCAGGCAGGGATTAGTTAAAATCCCTCAATGGGAGCGATGGACAAAGACTGTAGTGAGAATTCGTACCTGTTCCTTTGTAGAGGAGCAGGGAGAGCACAGAGCTGCTTGCCAGCCACCAGCCCACTATTTCAGGTGTCAGAAGAAGTGCTGAAAGCAATCTCTGCCTCCGAGGAAAATGTTCCAGAGACTGTTCCTGGGAAATGGCAATATCTCAGAGATTAGCCTGAGAGGTTAAACAGCCTCCGGGAGATGGGAAGCAGCTGTGGCTAGCAGGAAGAGCAGTCAGACGGTGCTTCCTGGCCAAGGAGAACATCCAGGTTTATTTCCTCTGCTGATCAACTTTAACATGCTTGGTAGGAGCAGGCCGGCTGCCTGCCAGCAACTGGCAGCAGACTTGGATGGGCAGGGACATGCAAATGCTATTTTCTTGACAGTGTTTTCTGGCCTGCACAAATGTCCATTAAAATAAAGCATTTAAAATCAAACCGCTTGACCAACAAAGCGTAGGTCAGGCATTTACCCAACAAGCATAGAAATAAAAGTAAAAGTACCAGTTGAGGCTTTCTGGACTGATGAGAATGCGTTATTTGGAACGCAAACTTCCAACCCCATGAATCGAGATAGCAGCATTTCCTGAACCTGAGTAGGATAGGAATTAGTCCCAGTCTTGGGCAACAGCCTTACAGTTGTGCTGCATGGCCTTGAAATCATTGACCTTTCTGCCTCAGTGTTGCCATCTGTAAGGTGGGGATAATTAATACTGACCTCCCATTGCAAAGCACTGGAAGGACTTTGGGTGAAAAGTACAAAGTTAGATTATGAATAGGTTTGTTTAAGGGTCTTTCTCGGCACTCCAGCATTGCAACCAGTCTCGTATGTATATGTTGTAATCTCCCCTGCCTCTTCCCTGGACGTCACGGATGAGCATGCCTCTCGAGCCTTGCCGTGGCTTCTCACGGTTGGATGAATCGGGTGCCCACCAGGTCCCCTCTCTGTGACCACTGGTGTGGTCCAATTCCTCTGGACCAGTGGGGGACTTCACTTCCAGCCCCCACCCCCCGGCTGTTCTTCCTCCAGGTCTTTTATGGTGGCCCCAGGTGTCTGGCCCGCCAGTCACCCCCAGCAGGCATACATAAAGTGAGCCCAGGATGATGTGGGAGCCATCCCCGGCTGCTTCTGGTTTGTCTGTTTTCTTTTCTCTTCTTTCTTCACCTGTGGTGGCTCTGCCCACCGCAGTTTCATTTCGCCACATCTGGCTCCCAGTGTGGTGTCGCGCCGCCTCCCGGCTCCAGCGGGTAAGTCGGTTTCCCACTGTGCATCATCACAGCCCTCCTCTTAGCCCAAGAAGCTTCACTCCCATCTTGCAGATGAGGTGCTTAGACCCAGAATGAGGGTTTCACATTCCTTGTAAATGTGGCACCAAAACCCAAATTCCCCATCTAGGGCTGAAACTGTGGCCTTGACCCTTCAGCATTAAGTTAGTCCTCAAATGCCTCAAGAGGATCATCTGCGCTACATGGGGCTGGTTTAACCCTCCAGCCCCAGTGAAATGCAGGAAGTGAGTGGTGCGAGTTACAAAAAGCTGCTTTTCTTACAGAAGTGCTGGCGGTTTTTTTCCTGATTTAGATGGGTCTGCAGTCAGCTGTCAAATAAGGGTGCAAGTAAGAGCAGCATTAGGTCAATAGTACATCTGCCGTGCTGTCTTTTTTTCTAAATGACTGTATCAGGAGGCAGAGGTACATTTGTACACGAGCAGTCACTCTAGTTGCATCCCCACGTCTCCAGGGGATGCAGAGCGTTAATGAGGATTCTCAGTAACTGGGAACACTGTTTCATGAGCTCTTGACCTTCATGCTCAAGTTCCCTTGTGCACAGACTAAATAATTTAATTACATGTGTGTTTGTGACAGGAGTTATATATCTACATAGTTCCTCGTTGACTTAATCTCTTGATCCTAAATAGAAAATAAGGGGTTTTGGATGACTGATTTGCCATAACACCATTATTTATCAAGGATTTTTCCAGCCTCCTATTAAAGAATAACAGGTTTTTATTCTCATATGAAGAGGCAGTAGGCTGAAGTGTGGAATCAGCAGAGCCATGCTTCAGAAAAGCTTGAACACAAAAATCAGGACATTTCAATAAGGAACAAAGCTAATCTATCTTCTTCCTTGGTCTTGTGATTTAAATCAATTTTTCTGCATCCTCCCCTGTTAGAACATGTGAATTGCCAGGCATTTGTCATCCCTCTAGCCCATCTCCAGCAGTGACCAGCACCATATGCTTAGCAGGATGATGTAAGATCTGAGGTAATCGGCCTCCCATGAGTATACAGTCTTAGAAATGGGCTCAAACCCTGAAGCGTGTGGTTTTATCTTTACTGCGGAATTTATTAGCATTATTGCAACTCTGGATATTCTTGTTATCCATAGAAGACAGAACACGGAGCAGTGGGTTCAGATTGCAGCAGGGGAAGTTTAGGTTGGATATTAGGAAACAATTTCTCACGAGGAGGGTGGTGAAGCACTGGAACAGCTTGTCCAGAGAGGTGGTGGAGTCTCCATCCTTGGAGGTTTTAAGACCTGGCTAGACAAAGTCTTGGCTGGGATGATCTAGTTGCGGGCAGTCCTGCTTGGAGCAGGCGGTTGGACTAGATGTGAACTCCTGAGCTCCCTTCCACCCTCATTGTCTGTGACTATATAAGTGTTGAATCCCTTGTTGACCTTCCAGGTCTTTTGCCTTGGAGCATCCTGTGAAAGTCAGCTCCACAGCTGCCGTGTATGCTGTATGGAAATGTTCATCCCTTTAGCATTTTGGAATTTGCCGTCGTTCAGTTTTGTTGAATGTCTTGTACTTGTGAGATGGAGAATTGAAGCTCCAGATCTCTCCACGCTGCCATGCCATCCCTCTTCACTTTACTTTGTATCATCTTTTGTCTCCCATTCCTTTTGGTCTCTCCTTGTAGGAGTATTTCCAGGCCCGTGATGGCTCGGGTTGCCCCTCTTTGAGAAGTTTGAAACAGAGGGGCAGCACTGCACATGTAGTTTCAGAGGAGGCCATGCAGTTTCATATAAAATTAATATAGTTCTTGTTATACATCAATCCATTCCTCGTGCATTATAACAGCTGGCTTCCTTTCTTCCCACTGCAGGTGCCCAGTAAATTAATCATGTGGACGCCCGCTTCTGAGTTGGGACAATTAATTAGAACCTCATCCGGGTCTGAGCACATCCGTTTTATTTATTTTTCCTTACAATACACATCATTTTGCCTTTATCAACCTTGCATTTCTTTTGCCTCAGCGTTGCCTTAATTCCATTAGGGTCCCTCAGCCTTCTTGAGATTGGGTTACCCATTGAATTTGTGGTATTTGTAAATTTAGTACCTGCTAATCGGTAAATTAAACAATACTGGACCAGATTGAGGGCTTGTCTGTGTGTGCGTGCATGCAAACACATACGTATGGGATCAGTTTAACGAAAGGTGGCATGTTGAACTGCCTATGTATTGACACGTTGGTTTAAATTCAGCCCAAGTTAAACCATTGTGAACTAGGATTAAGCCAGGGTAAGGGTCCTGCTCTCACACCTGCACCTGTTAACAAAGGTTAGGCTCCTGCCTTTAGATGAGGTGCTAGTGTAGACCAGGCCTTGCACAGGCATACATTGGATGGCTAAAGGGAAATCGCTGAATCTCTGAGGCTGCCTTGCTTTTCCTGACGCATCTAAAACATACGCCTTCTGCAGACTTGCATCTGCCTCGGAAGGCAAAGACAAAATTCTGGTTCTTTGGTGTTCAGATTTGAGATGAGCATTTGAATGGCTCCGGTGAGACATCGACATTAGCTGTTCGGGATGCCCGCAGCACAGTTGTGCTGTGGAAACAGCAATGGAGAGCACTAGCCTGCCGTGGCAGGTGCTGAGATGTGCACGGTTCACTTGGCAATTGCTCCAGCATCTAACACCTTTACAAGCATTCATCTCTTCCCTGCCCCATATTGATTTGTTGGGTTTCTAGGCTAAGCCGTCATAAAAGCAGCACTGTTTATTTCACACGGTCTGGGCAGAATGGAGATGAGAGTGGTTTTTTTCTTCTTTCAGCAATCCGTTAAATGAGGATAAAGCTGCCCCTGTCCCCAAGGAGCCCCTGACTTCAGCTAATCTGGCTCCAGCAGAGGAGACTACAGTTGTAAAGGTACATGCCATTCAGCTGCACGGCTCTTGCTTCACACCCTGAATTACTAGCTGCACCAGCTGAGCATGAAATGATCTGTTGGTTTGCAAATACTAGAGCTTACAGCAGCATGTTTAGAGTACATACCTGCACCAAATGGTGCTTTTTGGTGTAAAAAATGTTGTGTAAACAACCCCTTCTGGGTTAGGGCTGTGTACCCAGCACTCTTTTCCCCTGTGCAGCACATTTTTCTAAACCAGCTGGCCAGCTCCCTCACCTGCTGCATCCCGGTGTCTTGGCATCAACAAAGGACAGATTGTGCATATGAAATGTTACCACTGAATGAACTTGGGCAGCTCCCAATGAAGTCAGTAGGGCTTAGTCCTAAAGTTCAGGTTGCTTTTCCCAAGATTTCATACCCTTCCCTCCAGTGAGCACAAGCAGCAAAGATTGATGTTCATCAGCGTAGGAGCATGGGGTTTTTAATGGGTGCTTTTCCAAACTATCAAATGGCAGTAACATGGGCCTCTAGGATTTCAGCAGACAGAGCGGGTTCCAGGTCTGACTCTGGACCACCAAAATCGTGCCCCTTTGTTTAGCTGCTTCACCTTTACACCCGTTTTACGCTGCTGAGTCCAGTGAATAGGATAACCCTTTCCCCCGAGTTTGGATCCTGAATCCATTGACTCCACTCCCTCCCCTGCCTGCTTTGTGCACACGGATGCAGTGGTGAGTTTCCACGTCGTGCAGCAGTGAGTTCCAAGTAGTGCAGTGCCCAGGATGGTGAGGTGACAGGAGGGCAGGAAGGTTTTTTATCAAACTGAGATGAGACTATACATGTCTGCTTACAAGGTTCAAAACCCCCAGACCTGCCATCTAGGAACGTCCCTGTAATTCAAGAACCTGCTGGAATCCTCCACAAATCCTTCTGGCAACTATTGGGAATTTAATTATTAACTGATTTATTTTCAGAGCTCTCCGGAGGACCAGGATGCTTTGCCAACATCACTGACAGAGAATCTCATTGACTTCACAGAAGCTGTACCTCGGGTAACTATGTTTCGTAACCAGGCTCCTTCCTCCCCACAGATTTGATTGGACTGTTTCAAAAGCCGAGCATAGACCTACTCATGTCTTTTCGCCTGGCAGCTGTCTGCCTGCTGCGTGTCTGATGGCAGCGTGGTCTGTTGCTGCTCTGAGTGCTCATGCAGGCACACCACAGCTCTGAGACAGAGGCAGAGCACTGTGAATTGATCTCAAGGATCGGCTGAGTTTGTGCCTGTGCAGCAGCTGCCCTGCCGTGTTTGCAAGCCCATGAATGCTTTCACAGGGGCTTGCACCCAAAGTATCACTTGTGGTAGCGCATGCTGGGATTTCCATCCCTCACAGGCTGAGGGGGAAGGACCTGCAAGCCAGTTATGTAATTGTGCTACCTACACTGCAAAAACACCTCGGTGGACTGAATTGGCTGGTGGGAGGGCAAGCTGGTTACCAGCTTGTTCAAAGTCATTGTGTGGACAGGCCCTCCCTGATGGTGGTATAGTGCTGGTAGCAAGAAAGGTACTTGGTGTCACGTCGTTTTGAGGCAAGAATGTAACTAAAGCCATGTTATGTCCTTCAGAAACTTCACCACTGCGTGTGCTTTCCTTTTGGCAGGTGTCTTCCCAGCCCACGATTACACCGAGGTGGATAGTGCCAGTGAGTTACTCACTTATTTATGGGATATTTCCAACGAGTTCAGATTTCATAGTAAAAAGGAGCCCGAGTGAAATCTGTAGGCCTCTTTGAATGAGTGCAGATGGGGCTTTGGGTCTGCAAGTTGTGTAGTCGTATTCTGTTGGGATCTGGGCAATAAACAAAGAAAATGCTCTCTCTCCATTTCCTTGTCCAGCCCTGAGCAAAGGGAGTCAAACATCACAGGGGACAGTGTAAATAGCATATGCTCATGGCTTTGATCTAACGATGCACAGATCTGGGATTATTTCTATTTAAATGGGTCGATGATGTTTTCACAGTGTTTATATTGCAGGTATTTTCTGTAAAGTTTATGTAAGGACTTTCACTCAGTGAAGCCCCCTGCAACTCTAGGGCCTGTTGAATAGGCGCTGTTGACAGATGTGCTTGGTGCCTTGTGGCCGTGCTCTTGACCCCAGTTCTCTGTTTATTTCTCCCCATTTCAGAGTGGACTGGTTCTCAATGGGCCTTTAGGGAATGATGTTGCCTTAACTCTCAAGGCAGTGAAAGGCAGCACTGAGGCATTGTCCCCATCATCCGGATCCCCTCCATCTCAGCGGTCAGCCGAAGCTCTTGTGAGGTAAGGGCTCCTTGTGTGTAGCGGGGCGGGAAGGGAGGACAAAACGTGTTCTGGTCACATTTTAGCTTGCCTTGTAACGACTCCATCCTTCCCTGGACACAACGTGTTTCACTTCTTGTTCTAAATTGGACTCTAGAGTTGCTCTGCTGCTAAACAGTTGTTTCATCCCATAGTTGTATCTTAGTTAAGAGTTTATACATCAGTAGATGAGGCAATGAGTAAAGCTGTATAAAAACATAACGCTGGTAAAAACAACTTGTTTTTCCGAACAAAAGATTTCATCAGGCAAAGACAGCAGAAATGAGTAATGTGAATGCAGCTGGAGGGGTCAGGGGTGAATCTGCCACCTGTATAACCTCCGTAATGCCTGCCAGCTGACAAAGCAATCTGATCGGCTACATGTACAATAGGAAAGGAAAGGGAAGTTGTGAATCTCTGCAAAGCACCTTGATATCCTACTGGGCCAACATAAAACCATCCAGCCAGGTGACAAACACTGCCAGGCTCCAAGAACTTGAAGATCAGCAGATATGAACCTCTGCCTAAGTACTGAGTATTGTTTCTTGTGAATTAAATTACTTCAGGGGAGCTTTGAGGTTTTAACACCCCCAGGAGCCTCTTAAGTCAGCTGCTTTATTGCTATTACCCATTCGTGGACTCAGGACAGAAGGTAGGATAAGGGTTGAGGGAAATAAATAGCCACGTCCAGATGAGTTACACGCTTATAAGAGCAAAATGGGCCCCAGACTATCTCAGTTTTACTTCATTCTTCTGATGTCTTCAGGTGACATAACATCCATAACTATCATTGCCCAAAATGTAGAACTCAGGCACCCACTAATGTACTCAGAGGCATTGCCAAAAAATAGCTTTAAAGCTTGGCTTGCAGATCTTATGATGGCAGCACTGAAATTCTTGGGCTGTTCATATAAAGAGGATATTCACTCTCCTCCTCGAAGGGAAACACTGCAGTGGGAAACAGTCTGGGAAAGAGCCTTGCAATCTGTCTGAAGAGCTGGAGTGGATTTCAGACTGTCAGAACTGCTGTGTGAACGAGGCCTGCAAAACACCACACCCATAACACTGGGTGTTCGGTGATCAGGTCTAGATCCTCGACATAACTGTCTCGTCTGGGATCAATCTGGGGCTGCTACCAGACTGTCGGGGTCTGGAAGCCCAGGACAAACGGTCTTCTGCACAACCCCGGCCAGGTGGGGAGTGTAAGCACGTGGCAGGGCATGGAAGCCACAGGGCTCTGGATTGTCATCACTGCAGTCCCAACTCTGGGCTTCAGCACAGTGAGTTTTTTCCTCCTTTGTTCCTTGCCTTCACTACTCATGCTCTACCAGTCTCCTGGCTGGCAACGGTGCTGCTGATGCAGGAGGGAGAGTCCATCCCATGCCTTTCCCTGTATGTGATGCAAGGGGAACGCAGCCACTGGAAGCAGCACCAGGCTGCATCTTGAGCATTTGGAAGCCATGATAATGTTGTTCACTTCTCGCTGAAAGAGACTCTGTGCCTTGTGCCCCATTCTCAGCAGTAGAGCCAACTTGTTAATATATAGGCCTGCTCAAAATCGTATCCTGTGGTACATGCACCTAGTGTGCAGGCGGCTGCATCTTGCAAGCATCGGCCCTTGTTGGCATGTGTTGGCATCCCAGAGGTTTCATGGAGGCTGAACTGCTGGCTTGTTCACCAAGGTGGCTACTTCAGGTCTGAATGGGAAATGCTAGCAAGGTCTTGTGAAGAAAGGTTGTGCTCCTGCTGCTCTTGGAGCTGTACGTGTACCAGCATATAGAGAATTGTATTCCCGTTTGGTGATAAAGTAATGTTTTAAAATGCTCCCCTTCCCATGCATACAGCATTGGAGAAGGTAAACTATCCTAGTCCTGGAAGTTATTGAAAGCTAGAACACCCTGCTGCCTTGGTGCTAGTCCTTTGTACACTCCCACCACAGGCAAGTCCTTCCTTCCCAGCAGTCGCAGACCCTCACTCATCCAACCAGGCCTCTGTTTCTCTTAGTCCTTAGGGCACTGCTAAATCTTTGCCCCGTCGGTAGCACCTTGCACATCTCGGTCAACCTGGATATTTACAGGCCTTGCTTTCTTCTTCTTTTCAGCCCCGTCACAGAGGATCCTGCAGTTAGGCCAAAATGTTTACTCACCACTGAACTCTGAGCAGAAGGAGATTCACCGCTGAGAACTGGGACTTCCTGCATTCTCCGAGGAGCCCTACAACAGGACTGACTGGGGACGAAGCTCTAGCTGAATGGTGGCCACACGTGACCAGCTGCTTTGCCAAGAACCTCAAGGGGAAACTTTCAGTTTATTGCAGTTCAGCTGGACTGATGCTATAAACTAGGAGGTAAAGCTCCACAAAAGCACGAGCTTCTCTCTCGGGAGAAAGGAAATAGGCACACTGGAACTAGTTCTGGGCCTGAATAACAAAATCTAGCAGAGATTCTGTTCACATTAGGCTTAGTCTGATTAACTTTTGCTGCTTTGTAGACGTAAATGGAAATTGTTTTCTGTGATACCAGCCTGTAGCTTTATGAGAAGCTGTGGCCTAAAGCTTCATTACGGGACAGCGGGAGGAATAGGAGGACTCCTAGAGCCACCTGGTGGCCATTCTGTTAACTGGGGCTGAAAGTAATAATGGCAGTTCTCTGCAGCCAGGGCCAGTCTTTTGTGTAATGATCCTGTTTTTCTCGAGTCAACACAGACAAACCTCCTTGGCCTTAATCCACTTCATCACCGTTGCACTTTCTCTTTGGTCCCTGAAAAGAACCAAAAATCCAGTGTCTCAGTGATCCTTTTCCTCGCTGACTGACTGGATTCAAGCTGCTTTTTTTAACCTAGGAAAAGGAGAATTAACTTGCCCAGAAGCCTGGTGTTACTAGTGTCACAGGGAGGCCCCACATGTTATCTAAGACACCTTAATGTCCTGTACAACTTGCAAAACACATTAGATATATTTTGGGGCATAGACCTGCATTCAGGTTTGGATGGCTGAGAACGAAAGGCGTGAGCACAAGGGCTGCTCTGGAGCCCTTCTTTTTGTTGTAAGTAAAGGACTGGATTTCTATTGCTGTTTCTGGGGCGGTTTCTACTGGTTGTGTTTTGTGAATGCTCGACTGGCTGGCTCATGGCACAAGTATATGCATGGTCTGGTTATTAATGTCTCCTTGAACCCTGTTCCAACCCCCCTGTGTCCCTGCGGGAGGAGGAGAGAGTGGAAAGAGGAACAACAGTCACTTTGGGGCAGTTTTTTAACTCAGAGTAGGCGAAGGCAGTTGATAAAAGGACAGCCTGCTGCTAAGTGCTCGCCTGCCCAGGCTAGTGGTGAAAGCTTTGGCTCTATGTACTTGTAGTATTAGATACAACATGCCAATTGAAAGCTGTTGGAGCTCCAAGCGGCAGAGTCCCCTGTTGAAACCACAGAGATGAGCACTCGCATACAACGGTAATGGGTGCTAGAGAAAATACGAAGGCACATCAGTTGGAGTCCCACAGGACCCCAAGGGTGAGGTGAATCCCATGCCCTCTGTTATCAGTGCTGTCTCCTAACAGGAAGCCCTGGTGAAAATGAGTGGGGATCATGTCTTTCCAGCAGGGGAGCAAGTTTCTGTCCTTGGGACTTGTGCTACAGGCTGGTGTCTGCATACTGCTCTATTGTATGAAAGTTATTCACAGACAGAAAATGTACGTGGGAACACTTTTAAAGAAGGAAATTCTCACTCGCACTGTCTTGCTCCTGCTTACATGCTGTGCGTGCGTCTGAACAGAGGGAGAAAACACTGGACCAAATCACTTTGGTGTGTGTGAATAGCTGTGTCCCCATTGGCCTTCCCCAGCATGTGAAACGTGTCATGGATGCTGCTGCCGTACGAGTGTTGAGAAAGGACTTGGTCGTTGTGCACCGCTCTGTGCCACTCCCAGCACCCCACCTGGCCTGGTGTAGAGACAAGTAGGAAGCCTGAGCGACAGTGAGGACAGAGGCCCAGAAGCCACCCTGGACAGACAGTGCTTCCCAGACACTGCTGCAGGAGCTGGGGACTCCAGGTCCTTCCTCCACTCCTTCCCACCCTTTGCATTGTAGGAAATACCGAGAAGCCACGTGCTTGCTGATTCCAGTGTAGCCCCTCCAGGGCCAGGTGCTCTTCTGAGCTGGCTCTGCTCACCGCCAGTTTGATCGTGGCCCCCATGACCTGCAGTCAAGCTTGGTCTTCTCTCTACCTTGAGAAGCCTTGCTGCACATTAGGCGGGACCGTTTCCTGGCTCGTGCATCAGAAGCCTTTGTCTGAAGCAGGGCAGGTGTTGGTTTCGTCGATTAACAGAACTGGCAGCTTTGGGTTTTTTCATTCAAACAAGTTTTGTTCACTGAGTCTTTGCCCTGGGCTCAGGAGCCCTTTGAATTGTGCATGAGACGGGGCCCCTTACATAAATGCCTCCTTTCCCATTATCATCTGCGGTCAGTATGTGGTGGGCAAAGTGTGTCCCTAAAGTCAAATGGCTAAAGGACCTAGAGTCCGGATTTACCAGTGGGATGTTTACAGGCCTTGAAAAATCTCATAATTAGCAACTTCCAGGTGCACAGCGTAAAAATGCTGGATGAAATCCTGCCCCACCAAAGTCAGTGGCACAACGCCAAGAGGTGTCAAACGGGCAAGCAATTATATACCCCCCGGTGTCAGGGAGTGCTTTGAATTCACACCTGCCCAGTGGCAAGTTGGAAACCTATGATTTCTAGTCCCTAGGATGTTGTGGCCTGGCTCTGTGGGTAACACAGATGCGATGCTGCATCACTCATATGTTAGTTATAAAACGGTAGGTGTAAGCACAGTCACCCGACAAGCTTGTAGGTCCCTACAGTGAAGTTGCCACGTGACCTGTATTTTACCTGAACAGTGTTAACATGAAATGCTGAAACTGCAGCACCTCTAAGGTATGAATTACTGCCTTTCTTGCACACAGCATGGAGCTCCTTTCTCCTTCCTCGTATTAGCGGGCTGTGGGAGACTGAAGTCAGTAACAGGAAGAAACGTTAAGGAGCTTCCCCTGCCAAGGGGGAGAAAGGCAGTCGGTGCCTACTTCACTTGTGTTCCTCTAGATCAAGTCTGTTGTCGGGGACACTGACCTCTCTGCCAAACAGTGACAAGCTCCAAGAAAATACTGCTTTTAAGACTGGGAAATTGGTGACTCCCAGCACACCAGATGTAGCACTTCGTAGGAGCCAGGGCTGAGAACCCAGGAGTTTAGTCTCCATTTTGATTACACAGCCATCAACCGGGTTTCTAGTGGAATCCATTCCAGGTTTTATTAATTACATGTTATATATTGTCCATGCCCTTTACATCATCAGGGGTTAGTAAAAAAAATACAAACACAAACAGAGCTAAAGCCTTGCTCTTTTACCATTTGTAATAAAAATGTCACCACTAAACTCCTTGCAGAGGGTAGCTGGACCCTGGAACAGGCCCTGATCATAGGAATGGAACTAGATCACTCCTTTGTACAAGTTGGATTAACCACGTGGAGATGACGAGTCTTAACGGCTCTAGTGTTGCTCTCAGCCAGTTAGTCTGGGAACAGCAGCTTGAAAAACCCACGCTTCGTAGAAGGGAAATGGAGACACTGTGTAGTGATGCCATCGCCGTGTATTCGCGGTCAGTCCTGCTGCCTGCTGGGAACATCTGACCTGGAATATACTGGGTATTAGGGCCTCTCTAAAGCTGGAACTAAAGGATGCCCTTTAGCTGTCAGCACTAGTCAGGGGCTTAGCACAGGGGACAGGATGGAGCAGGGCTTTCTCGTTAGCCCGGTGCGAGGGTGCATACGTTTAATTTGAGCAGTGGGCACTACAGCGTGTTTGTTGAAGCCAAACATCCCCGTGCTGGGATGCCATTACAGACAGTTTTCTGAACACCCAACTCCAGCAAGTAGGGCCCTTGCTGCTCCCAAAAGGATGACTGGTGAGAGTCTGGGTTAAGTGTTGGTTTTCTTCTACAGACTTCTGTCCAGTCTGTTGTCTTCCTTCCCAATTAGTCTTCTCCTGTTACCCTGCTAACACGGTCCTGCCTCTTGCCGGAAATGCTGTAGCGAGACCACCCTTCCCCTTTGCAGCAGTGGGTGGCTGTTTCCAAGTTGAGCCCATGTGCTGCAGTGGAGGTCATTGGGTAGTAACTGTGCCCCTTGGCACTTGAATCTCAGCTGTCAAACACCTGGCCATGCAGCAAGGGATGGTGTTAATCAAGTCAGGATCAGTCCATTAGTATTAGAAATTCTGTGTACCCATGGCTTTTCACTAACAGCGGGGTAATTGTAACTTTGCAAAATATCTTTCTTAATGGCCAGTTAGTCATGGAGGCATAACCCATGGTAATCCGCTGCGACAGAGACATGGGTTACTCAAGAAAACTGGTCAGTTGTTATTTAGAAAATGTTTTCACTGTAAACCTGCCAGCTGAGGACTTAAAAAGCTGGAAAATACATTCTGAATTGTTCTGTTACTGTCTTTTAGGCTGTGGGAGTTGATTTCTGGTCCACAGTAGTTCTCTTTTCTTCCTGAATTTTAAGACTCTAAAGAAAATTGTAGACTCAATTACTGTAACGCGTGTAGGTTGGAATCCACTGCTTTTATACACAATGTAGGTTTTTATGATGAGAGAATTTCAGACGGTTTGACAAGCCTCTCTTCCGGACTGAGACTCGGGCTCCGGCACTCGGCATTAACGGCAGCCTCAGCTGCACTTGCTCGGGGTGGGGAACTGGGTATCCCTCCATGTACGCAGGAGGGAAAGGGAGGCCTCTTCCCCAGCATTCCCATCCATGTTACATTGTGGCCTGAGCACCGCACTTCTCTTGTTCTCTCCTCCGTATATACGATTCCACTGGAACTGGACAAACTTACTTTAAAGTACACAAGAGGTTTTTGGGTTTTGTTTTTTTAGCTAGACCTTTTTGTCGGAAGCCACATTAATGACCATGTTTTTATCTTTTCTACGTCAGACTTGGCAGTAGCTCCCAATGTGTAATTTATTGATTTTTTAATAAAGTGCACCCTCCTGCTTCATGGCCGTAGCAATGTATGTACTGTTTTAGGCACTGCACTGCACTGAAGTTTGTACTGTCTGTACATGGGGGAAAACTGTGATTTTTAGTCCACTCAGAATTCATGGATTGTTTATATTTTAGCTCTTAAATACACTGTATCTGTGCAAAACAGTCTCTTGGGATCTCTGTTCTTTGACTGCCACTTCTGCAGAATAGTGTGGCCATAAAAATGCCTTTGGCAGGGAGGTTAGTCAAGGGCCGGTTTAGGAAATGGCATCAAAGACTGCTCCAGGGAAATCCAAGCCGAAGGGCCTCTTGCAGGCCAGCAAACTCCCCTTGTCAAAGATCTTGAGTCCTGTATCAGAGCCTGTTAGCCCCAGCCCGGACTGTCAGTCTGTACACAAATTAGGGTTTGCTGGGAGCTTCAAGACAGTTGCTCAAAGTACTTGGCTAAACAAGAGAATTTTATCTGTTCTTCAGTAGCAGGTTGTGACTAAGCCACATCAAAGACTTCTCTGACCTCTAGTGATCTCAACTAAAATGAAATGAAACATGCGCTTAACTCACATTACGTGCTGTATTTCCAGAAGTGCTTGGCTTGATTTTACAGTGGGAGTTATTGGAGGCTGAACACTTCTGAAAATCAAATTAGATGCCTCAGTGAAAGCTTGACCTCTTTGTCCTTAAAATCAGAGCAAGATGGGAGTGTGCAAGTGTGTGCGGGTGGCGCTCATTACCATGTCAGCATTTTCTCAGCCATTACTTACCTTCTAAGGTCCAGAGAAAGGTTTGAGACTTTCAGCCCCCGATGTGTACTGTCAGTAACGCTGACTGCTTAATGTCCCGAGTGCCCAAATGTTGGTGCTGTGCACATCTTTCACTCTTTCCATTTAAAACTTATAGATGTTCAAGCTGAACATCAAGTGAGCAAGACTCCTATTTCAGCTGAAAACCAGAGTAAAAAGCAGTTTGGCTTGCTCATCTTAGAGTTTAAAAAGAGGTGTGCCAGGATGATTAAACTTGCCTCACCCATGAGGAGGATGGTCATGGTCAGGCCGCTTTTTTCCGTTCTGCTTCAAAGAGAAGATGGCAGAACTGAGATCCTCTGGGGCTTTGCTTCGTGTACAGTTATTTTCACTATCAGTTTCATTACCCCATGGCAAAAACTTGGAGAGGCCAACCCCCCCCCCCAACCCAGAACTGTATCTTGAAAAGCAAAAACAATTTAATTATTGCTAATTGAGTTTAGGAATGTGTCAAAGGGAGAGAAGAGAAAACAAAACTAATTATTTTAATATCCGAATCCATTTGGGATCATGACTTGCGAACAGGGGACCTTCTGCTTACTGCTTATCAAGGAAAGGCGAGTGGTGTGTAGTACTGTGGCTGGGCAGCAATTTGGTCTAAGGGAAAGGAGGGGTTAAAACAAAAGGAAGCAAAAAGCATTTCTGAGTGCTACAAGGCCTTCATCTCCTAAGTGTGAAAAAAATACAATTTTCAAACTGAATTACAACAAAAATGGTCACGAGAAGGGGTTGACTTAAATACTTTTACTGAGTCAAGAAATTAAGACAAATGTGCCTTTAGTTTGTCACTGACAAAGAAATGTCTGCGTCTTGTAAGTGAAATCTTCCCCAATTGATAATACATTCTCACTCAGGAATAGGAAATGGAAAACTAAGAACAGGAATAACTGGACCTAGTTAATATGGACAGATCTGTTCTTGCGCATTCATTTTATAATGGTCAACTTTTAAACACTCATATCTCACAATGCTGCAGTCCATTTGCTGCTCCGGAGCAGATGAATATGAATAGACTGGTTGTGGCTTTTTGCTTTCATTTTATACAGCGAGCACTTGTTAGGAGATGTATCAGGCCCTGAAGAGTTGTCTGTTTAGCCACAGAACAAGCACGGGACAGGTGCCAGCACAGCCGTCTTCCCTGCTGCCCGGCTCTTTGTTTTTCAGCCTTACTGTTGCGCAGCCAGATCCAGCAGAGGGATGAGCCTCTTCAGTCCATGATGGGCAGTGTCCATTTCTGTGCTGATAGCTGCTAACTGCGGTGTTTTATGTGATTGTCACACAGGCCATTGCAAAGCTGTAGACACCACTGCATTTTGACGACTACTAACTTGGTCACAGTTAAAGTACTAGCAGCCCTCTGAATACCTGTCCCCCTCATTTTAAGTGCATGCATGTATTGTGAGTAGCTGGCGGGAGACTGAGGAAAACAGCCACCCTCTCCCCCACCTTTTTTTGCAATAAGATCATGATTTCATTAAAAGTCCAACTGAGCACCAGGAGAGGAAAGGCTCGCGCTACTTGAGGTGCTGGACCTCTACCACAGCCATTAGCTGCAATGAAGGTTAACAGAGGCCTGAAATGAAAGCTGCTCCAGCAGTATTAAGACCTCCGTCAGCAATTCCAGCAATTCCTGCTTCCTCTTGAGCCCACTTCAGAAAGCAGTTTGCAGCAGGAAACCACAAATACACAGCACAAGGAAACTCAGCTGCCCAGACAGCAGAGGGTTCCTGTCACTAAGTGGTCATGGAACATGATGTCAGTCCCTCTGAATTCCAGGCATCTGTTCTACCCTCAGGTCACACTTATTTTCAAATTGCTGGGAGCTGCCAACAAGGGAATAAAGTGCTTGGTGGCACCCAGGGAGCCAGTCCTGAGGATAATAAAATCCTGAACGGTACAGACAGCTCCTGCTGGATTGCACCTACACAAACCTATCAGCAAGCTCTTACATGCGACTGGTTTTAAGATTACTGTTCTACTTTCATGCTCAGCTCAACTGTTCTACGAAGCTGAGCTCTGTCAGAGCCTGATCCTGCCCAGTCGGTTCCCAGCTGCCGCATGTACACGTTTCCGTTGGACACTTGCTCGTGTCTGGGCAGTCGCAGAAGCCCACAGACCTTGCACAGGCTGGTAAGGGGCTGAAGCTCTTCATTCAAAAAGGTATGTTCCTTGTTGGTATACAAGATGTTTAAAAGGCCCACGCTCAGGGTTTGAACATCTTGCAGAGACGCGTGTTGAAAAACGACAGAGTGCTGGCAGCGTGCAATTACAGTGCATGGCTTCTGGACGCAGAACTGACTGAGTCTCAACTGCCTGTGCAGAAAGCTGTAATAATTCTCATGTAGCAGAAATACTATATCAACCTGATATGTGCTCTTCCCTTGAAAATAACACTGCCCCTCACTTGTAGTGTCTCTTGTTACCAGAGTCAAATAATCAGCCATTAGGCTGATTATCTCAGTAGCTTACACAGAATGAATAATAAATGGCTGTCTGTTATGGTGACGTGGGAGAAAGGCAGACATTTTATTACAGTATTTTAAAAAGTAGTGCATGAGCTTAATGAAACTAAACGGAGGTGGATTTTTGTGTACATCGACCTCAGGAAGTTCTTGCAGAAGAGCAGGTGAGGCCTTGGCTGTACATCCCCACATTTTGCCCATTTTGATTTCTGTTGCACAGCTAAAATATGAAGTTAAGGGAAACAGCCTGGACCTGCAAGAAATGCACCTCCCGTAAGCCTGTGAGCACCCAAACCAGCTGCAAGGCCATGGGAGAGCCAGGGTGCTCTGCACCTCTTGGGATTAGGGTGATCAAAGAGCCGTAGTAATCTGACACTTCTGTCATGTGGCTGATTGCCCTGGCATGCCATGGAGAGGCTTTTTTATTCATTCAGTACAGAAAGGAAACATAATGGACACCACATCCTGATGCACACGTAACACTGCAGAGGAGGGATCGGAGGAGAAATTCAGAAGTGTATTTCCTAGTTTGAGGTCTGTCCTGGGGAAGAGCCCAGGCTTTGTTCTTTTCCGGGGAGAAAATGTCCAAACTCTTTCATTGCGTCTTCGTAGGCTTTAGGCCTATGTTTAGGGGCCTACCAAAATCTAGGAGGCAGGCAGCTGATTTTGTGGACTGACTGCAGGGCCAGCTGCTACTGTCATGGGCTTATCAGGGTGGGCACCCTCCCCCCCAATAATTGGCTGAGATGGCTGTCCATCATGGAGCCCCACCCCTCACTGCTGTTTGGTGGAGGGGGGTGAGGCCACATGACGGACAGCCCTCAGCCAATGGGAGAGTGGGGGTGGCTGCCGTCTTGCTTTCCTTCACAAAGGTGGCTTCCCCCTCTCCCAGTGGGCTGCAAGGCTGGGCCACAAGGGCCATGAAGACTGCTGGCTCCCATGGGAATTGGGGTTTTAATTATTATTTTTTGTAGATTTTGCAGACAATGCCTGACTTTGGCGGTTTCTGTGAAATGACAAATTAAGTAGGTCCCTACCTATGGTTTGTTTTGTCACATTGCACAGTTTCAGGGCCAAGCAGCTTCCTATGGCAGGGCAGCCAATACTGTGTTCCTTATTCCAGTGCAGGCAAAGTGTTGCCAGAGTCCAGCACTGAACACCTGGTTTTCTCTCAAGTCCTTAGTACAACAATTCAAGATCACTCTTCCTCATTTTATGGCTGCTGTAGGCTGGTTTTTCCCCAAAGCCTCAACTCGTCTCCTGTATCTATAATACTGTGGGCCAGGCCTTGCAAGGTAGTTTCCATTAGGAGGAGTTGCTGATAGGATTGCAGCAAATAGGATTGAACCAAAATCCTGTTTCTCTAAATCAGCTGTAACAGATAGTGGCAATTTCCAAACCTATGTTCCCAGCAAACTCTGCTTGCGAAGCCCTGCTCTCCACCCCCAGGACAGTGATCGCACCTGTTTCTCTTTACTAATGCAGACACAGGTTGCCAACGATCCTCCCTGTGTTTGTAACCAGTCCCAGGCAGTTCAACACCACTTGGGCTGTCCCGTGCAGCCCAGTGCTCTGGGTTGCTATCATTGCATAAAAGGGGCATTTTGTTGCTTCTTCCTGTTAGCCTGAAATAAAGATGCTTATTGCACCCTTCAGCTTTAACTAGAGTGGGGACTTGCAACAAATCAAATGCCTGCATGGTGACAGCCAGAAATACCTCCCAGCTTAATACTGTGTTCTTGGTTCAAGAGGGTGGTATACCTTCTCCACTGACCTGTTCACCTTGTGCAGTCTGTCCCCTAAATGATGGGCATTTAGCACTTTTTAAAAATGCAGTTTCAGAGAGTTTCTGGACATTGTGTCAGAACCTCAGATCTGACTCTGCCCTAACTTAAACTGTGGATTTTGATGAGGCTGCACTACGCAAGTCAAGGTGTTACCTTTGATCTCTGTATAACTTACAGTACGAGTAACCCTTGTTAGGCATAAAAGACCCTTAATAAATAACACAGCAGGAGTTGGCAACCTACAGCCTGAGGAACCTTTTGATCCAGCCCTCAGACATGGGGCTTTAGTGGCATTTGACACTGGGGGGGCTTCAGTAATAGTTGCTTTCTCCTGTGCTTGCTGTTGCCACTTTTTTTCCCCACCGAAGGGAGGGCACCCCCACCAGCTTGCTGGACCATTTTGCGGGGTGGGAGGGTGCTGGGACCCACCCGCTACTGCTGCTTTTCCCTGCTGCCAGCATGGAGAGAATACATGAACATCATCACTTTTCCATGGCAGGTGCAGGAAAAGGCAGCAATGACGGGTGGGTCCTCGCACCCACCCAGCAACCCGCGTCTGACCTGACCTGGGTCAATCCAGCCCTGCAGCCTTAAAAGGTCGCTGTCCATTGGCCTATAATATTGGCCACACTTGCAAGTAACCAGAAGACAAGGTTGCTAGTAATTTCATAGGCATCAGGACTTCAATGTTTGTCTCTTAGGCTGGTGGGGGCAAGGACACCTGCTGTGATTTTTGCTTTCCCTTACTTCAGAGTCTATCCGCAGCACCCGACCAGTGGCACAAATAGGGACTGAAAAGCTGTTTTTGGGTCAGAAGCTTGGAAGACTTCTTATCCTGAGCATGCAGAAGGCAAGCAGTGCTAATACTTCCTGGTTACTCTTGTTCAGACAAGATAGACAGCACCCCTGTTATGTGTGGGCCACAGAAACGCTGTCCAGCTCCATGTGCCAGAGGGAGATTTCACAGAGCCCAGACAGAGGCTTGCCCCCAATGAGGAGCAGAATATCGGGCTGGCTGCTATTGGCAAGGCCCATTGGGCTCACAGGCTGATGCTCGGTTCCTCTCCTTTTCTCAATAACTTTAGTAGTGGCAAAATCTTTTTCTGAAGAGATGAGGTGAGAAAGGTGCTTGTTTTTGGACGACATGCTCTTGGTTTTCTTTGCACAGAGTTCTGTATCTGCAGAGGTTTGAAACGCACACAAGCCCAGGGACTCCAGAGGCTGGCTAAATGTTTTCATTTCGATCTCACTGACATCCTCATTGCTGAAGGCTTTGTAAGCCGGCTGTTGGTGAAAGTACCTGCCAAAACAGGCCTGCTGCTTCGAGACGGGCAGCAGCTTCCGATGGTCTTTGTGTTTTTCACTCCAGTGATTAATAGGGGATGCACAAGAGGCCTCTGGGGCCACCTGGAAACCACTGCCAAGTCCGAGGATGCAGTGATACATTTTAGAGGACAGGTTTACCTTTGCCGTGTGAACCAGCTTGCTCCACATCTGTGAACTGAAATGGTACTTCCACAGGCTGCTCTGAGGCCTGGAGCTCGAAATCCCTCCGCCAAAAATCAGCATGGAGTCTCTAAAGACCACAGAGGAGTGTCCCACTACTTTTGGAGGTCCTTGGCTAAACATAAGGGAAGGCAGCAGTTAGGTCTTGCAAGGAGGAGGAGACGTTAATGCTAAGACATTTTCCCAATTAAAGTACAAGAAGTGAAATGTTTCAGCTGAGCCTGGATCATGCTAACTTTGTCCACCTAGAACAGGGGTGCCCAGTGCGCAGCACACATGCCGCAAGTGCCATAGGCAGCCTCTGTGTGGTGCAAAGCAGATCAGGGAGGAGACAGGCAACACGGGGGCAGAAAGCAGAGCAGCAGATCAAACAGGGATCAGAGTGACACTTGGGGAGGATGTGAGGCTAACTGTGGCACACCTGCCAAAAGGCTGGCTTCCCCACTGACCTAGCTATGTCAAAACTTCATCTGCCATACAGTGAAGCAGACTGCAGCTACCTCATCTTTAATAGGGAAGGGTAGCTTGTAGTGGTAAGGGCTCCCAGAATGCAGTGCTCCAACTTGTTCTGCAAGACTTCTTCTGGGATCAAAATAGCAGCGCCCGTGGCCGAGGCCGGTGAGGCAGTGTCGAGAGGGAAGGGGCCGGGG